GCAGTTCAAACTCACCAGCCACTCCTTAGAAGGAAGGTTGGGCAATCTACTTCCATAGTGATACTGCCTCAGAAACCAAGGAGGGGTCCCTATGTGTTGAGGCTCACTCAAAGGCACACAACAACAATAACAGCAATATATATACACATATACACACATATACATATACATACACACACACACACACATATATATATATAAAGTGCATATTTAACTGTATACATATTTATAACTATTTACACACATATACATATATATTTAACTATGTGTGTGTGTGTGTGTGTGTGTACAAGGAGCTCTGGTGGCATAATACCTAAAGCATATGACTAATAACCAGAAGGTTGGTGGTTTGAACCCACCAGCTACTCCACAGAAGGAAGACTGAGCAATCTACTTCCATAAAGATTTTATCTTTTTGGAAACCCAATGGGAGGGAGTCACTATGAGTTGGAATCAACTTGATGACAGTGGGTTTGCATTTATATATACAGCAATCCCACTGCTAGTCATGTATTCTAAAGAAGTGAGAGCCAGGACAGGAATAGATATATGCACATCTCTGGTAGTTTAGTGCCTAAAGCACTTGATTCCTAACTACAAGGTTGGTGGTTCAAACCTACTAACCACTCTACAGAAGGAAGATTGGGCAATCTACTTCTGTAGTGATACTGCCCCAGAAATTCAAGGAAAGGTCACTGTGGTTTGGTGCTGACTCGATGGCAAAATATCAACAACATGTTCATTGCAACACTATTCATAATAGCAGAGCCACAGAAACAAATTCAGTGCCCATCAACGGATAGATGGATAAACAAAGCATGATGCATAAACAAAATAGAATATGTATAACATTAAAGGATAATGAAGAACCTGTGAAACTACACAACATGGATAAAGTTGGAGGACATTATGCTCAATGAAATATATTAATCACAGAAGGATTAATATTGTATGAGTCCACTGTTGTAAAAAGCTATGGAGAATTTTACATACCAAAGGAAGGAAATTTTATTTTTTAGTTATTGGAATGGGAAAGGATTGGCAGGAATATTGCCAGCTCAGTAAGAGACATCTACTGATTTGGGTAAAGGGTAAGGCAATATACCAAAAGTGAGTGACCAGCACAATATCACTAAGGCAGACACAGAGAAGGGCACAAGAGATAGAGGGGATCTTAAAAGTTTGTGAGTTCCTCTTGTGTGCTGCTGGTGGGATTGTAAAATGGTGCAACCATTGTGCCAAACGGTATGATGTTTCCTTAAAGAACTGAAAATAGAAGTACCATTTGAATCAGTAATTCCATTACTAGGAATATATCCTAAAGAGGTGAGAGATAGCACATGGACAGACATGTTCAGCTATGTTCATTGCAGCACATTTCACTATAGCAACGAGATGGAAAAAACCTAAATGCCCATCATCATATGAGTGGATAATCAAATAATGGTACATGCACACAATGGAATACTGTACTACATTAAAGAACAACGAGGGATACACAAATCATCTTACAATGTGGATGAACCTGGAGGACATTATGTTAAGTGAAATAAGTCAATTGCAGAAAGACAAGTACTGCATGAGCCCATTACTATAAAAAGACAAAGAAGGGTTTGCTTGGGAAAAATAACTCACTTTATAGGTTACCGGGATGAGGAGGGAAGAGGAAGGATTAATGACAGACTAGTTGGGGCCCACACACTGATGTGTGTAAGGGGAGGGATATACGGAAAGGAACTGTGACCACCATGATGACATTAGGAAATGGGAGGACAACTAATTGTGCACATAAGAGATAGACGACAGATGCTAATATCAACCAATGTGTCCACAATTCTGCATTACCATTAACACCAAAAAACAGGCTACAGATAAACACATAAACACATGAGAGGATCAGATGGGGGTCAGTGAACGGGCGGATACTCTGCACCAAGGATAGACTCAGCTGAGATTAATCTTGCACAGATACCAGTGATACAAAATACCTGCAAATCCTTACAGAAACAATAGAAGACAAACACAGAGTGATCCCTCACAGACACCCAAACACTATGGGAGAGAGATTCAATAGACCTACCATCTCAGGACCATAGTACTGGGGGACACCAGACTCAACTGGCACAACAAAATACATAAAAGCCTTGTTCCACATCCTACATTGGTGAGTAGCGACTGGGTTCTTAAAAACTTTCAAGAAGCCATGTAAGATGCAGCTAACTGTCTCCTAGAATCAGAAGCAAAGAAGAATGCAAAAAAAAAACAAAAAACAAAAAACAAGGGCATTTGGAAGCAATCAGCCATAGGACATGATGGACCTCGAGACCAGAAGAACTAGATGATGCCTG